AAGAAGCCCTGTAGGTTAGATGCCATAGCTCCACAGGTTGGATTTGGCCCATGTACCAAGGATACACACCTCTGGTATAGATCATTAACCATTTATTGGAGCAGGGGGACTTCAGCCTCCCGCATCCAAAACAAGGGCTCCAAATAACTGAGCTACAGAATAGCTGGTCTGAGCAGAGAATGAAACCTGGTACTCCCACATCTCTGGAGAATGCTCTAACTCCTAAACTATTCTGGGGTACTCCAAGCCTGTTACCACACTCCCATCCCTTCACAATGCTCAGAGCACACCTTGGGAAATCAGGTCCCACTTGCAAGACAGATGAAGGAATATCTGTTCTGGGATTCTCACCTCTGGGGCTCATACAGAGCAAGACAGTAGCTGAGCAGCAATTTTGAGAATGCCAACAGTGCCTGAAAGGCAGACATGTGAACCCAAATAGGCAGATATGCTACTGAGTACTTAGGTACCTAACTAGGGGTGGGCAACTGGGTCATGAGCCATAGGCACTCAGTGAAGAATGGCACCAGAATGAAAGTGGGGGGCTTGAGGCTCCAGCTATGTGGAATAGAGCAGGGTTAGGAGTTCCCTTGTCTGCTGTCATTCCTTCTCCCTGTGGGAAGCATCACTGCTGTGAGGAAAGCAGTCAGTTTGCTCCCAGTATCCAAATGAACCCTTCCCTGGCACTGTAGCCACCACTGAATTAAGGGTTTTGGGTCTTCACTTGCCATATAAATCTAAGGAAGTTGTGGGGCCAGGGGAAAGTTAACCTGGCTGTTAGAGGTGATGCTTCTTCTTACGGCAATGTGTTCTATCCCCTCTCTGCTCTGAATATCTGAATTCCTTCTTGCTGGTAGAGCTTTAGCACTTCAGTTACAAATTTGGACGTTGCATAATGCCTGGCTGACCAAGACTGGTCTGCAGCCGATGGCATTAGATGCTGTCATATTTAGAAATCTCTGCAATTATTTTTAATCTCTTTCTTTATTCAAAATACTTTGATGCTTGACAAATCCTCTGAGCATTATAATGTGGCACAGCAAAGTAAAGCAAGACTGATTCGCTCAGGTCATGTGTTTTGGATTATTTGTGTGCTACTGCCCTCTAGTGGAATGTTTCATAATGACCTGCCTGACTTGATTTCCATTTTTAGCTGAGTTGGGGAAGTTACTCTTTTGAATATATTGGGCATGTCTACATGTGCACATTTAGGCTAGAGACAGACATTCAAATAGCCAGATCCTGAATTGATTCAATCTTTGCAGGTTAGTTTAACTTGCAAAGATTGAACTGATTTGCAAGTGCACAGACAGTCATGTTTAATTCTGGAAATGCAGGCACATGCCTGCAGTGGCTCAGGCTAGAAGTCGGGGTGCTAGAGCAGCCCTCCCTTTCCTTTGCAGCACCTGCAAGGCCAGAGGGAACCTGACCTGGGGAGTATGGCCATGCCCCCACAGGGGATGATATGATTGTGCAGGGGTTTAAACCCCCATCCTGGCCTGTAAGGGCCCCAGCCAGGCTGTGTCTGGAGGGGTAGGGGGGAAGCAGCCCTTGCCAGACTTGTTCCTGAGGCCAGACACTGGCCGGGGTAGTGCCTCAGGCAAAGAGGGGCAGGGGGTGGGGATTAAACTCTCCTGTCTCTGGGCAGGCACGGGACCCCAGTTAGGGCCTGCCCAACTTTCCCTCCTGCTCTTGTAGCGAAAATAGATACTTTTCTCTATGTTTCTTTGTTCCTTGTTTCAGTATTAACCCCTGCATTCTGTAATTTTCCACCCACATGGTACAGGATAGCCCACTACGCATGTCTTATAGGTTGCTCAGGTTTTGTTTTGAAATGACCAATCAAAATGTAACACGTCAACTGAAAAAAATGCTAGCTCAATAAAAGCCACGTGCGCTCTTTGTTTAGAGTCGGCACTGATCTGAGCAACAAGCTCCTTTGTCGGCCTGCTTGCAAGCAATAAAATAGGGTTGGACCCAGCCTGAAAGTGTGACTCTCTTCTAGAGGTGAATTGGACTAGCCTCCAGGGGATAAAATCAGCAATTTATGCAACACTCTTGTTCAGGTGGTGGAGGGCCTGGCCAGAACCAACCAACATGGCCCTGCTATCCATCCAGAGCTGGGGATACAGCTGCAGCTGTGGGGCTGAGCCCAGCCAGCCTGCAGGTGTTGCTGAGGGCCGAGGCAGAGGGGAAGCCTGGGCTGGGGCTGCATGGCCAGATTGCTCCTGGCTGCCCACACCCAAGCTGGACAAGCTGTCATGGAGCCACAGCCATCTGGGAAGGGCCATGCAGGGCCAGCCTGTGGAGACAGGGTCCTTCCCAGCCTGCTGCAGCTGTGTGACAACCCATCCTGGAAGCACAGGAGAGGCCTGGCTTGGGAGTGGGATTCCTGGGATGGCTTGGAGGCACTGGTGGCCCCTGAGCCTGGTAGCTGCCACCGTACACCCTGTCCTGTGCAGCACCCGGGGCTGCAGGTGCACAACCAGCTGCGGGCTGGCCAGGGCTGAGTGGGGTCTGTTCTGCTCCCCTCACCTCCAGCTGCCGCTGCCATGGCCATGCTGCACCACTCTGGGTGTGTGATGGGGTGGAGGGGTAGGGAGGCTGGAAACTTCAGCCATGAGGCTTCTGCCCAACACGTGGAGCTGAGGCTCCATCTCCTGGATGCCTTGGAAGGTGGAAGACATTTGGGTGGAAGGTGTCTGGGGGCTGCAACTAGAGCTCCATGCGCAGGGCTGAAGCCACCAGGCTTGGCAGGGCTGTTTTTCTCCCCTCACCTCCAGCTGTGGCTCTTGCTTCTGTTGCACTGTGCAGCACTGCTCATGGTGAGTGGAGTTTCCTTCAGCCTGGCAGCTTCAACCTGAGCTGGGCTACAGGTAGATGGTGGGGGCCATGCCAGCCAGCTCTGGCCATGAGCCCTATCCTGCTGCTGTAGTGGGGATGTGGGGGAATGGTTGATGGGGGCCACAGTCCCCCGGTAGAGGGGAGGGGAGGGAATAAATCTCCTCCCTGCTCCCTTTGTCTCAGGGGACCATGCATCTGGCCACATGCCCACCCCTGCTTGAGCTAGACAGCAAAGGGGTAGGGCCATTCCTGCTCCCTGGAGCAGACAGCATAGCTGCAAAGTGTCTGGGATGCTGTGGGACTGTGATTTAACTTAAGCCAGGATGGGATCTGGGACAGAAGTTGCATAAACTGGTTTGACCCAAATCAATTGTCTGATACTACATTCAACTAGATGTATCTTAAATCAGTTTCAGCCATTTTCAAACTGGTTTATGTGCACTGAACCTATGTTCTGTTATAGGTTTAAACCAGTTTCTGATCACTTATGCTGGTTTATGTGTAACTTCTGTGCTTAGCCCTAATGCACATTAGCCCAATTTAAGGTGCATTAAGGGCATGTGTCTACACATGCACACTTTTAACATGCCTTAAAACTGACGATTTTAGGTTATTCAAACTTAAATTTCATACTTGCATAAATCAGGTATCAAATGTATGCATGAATAGCTAAATCACATTAGTGAACATGTAGATGCACTAATGCACATTAATGCAGTGCGTGTCCACTGACTTTGGACTAACTTTAGTTCCAAGTTGGTCCTCACACCTGCATTAATGTACCTTAGTGCATACATGTGTGGATGTCTGCCTAAATTGCCTTGATATGCATTAGGTTAATGTGCATTAAGTTTAGGCGCATGTAAAAGTATGTGTAGACACCCACTGAACAGCTAAGATATATAGACCCAGCACTAGATCTTCAAAGGGGCTTAAGCACCCTGCTGCCCTTTAGGTGCCAGACTCCAAAATTTAGATCTTCAAAACCCCCATTCAATTGCCATCCAATCTAAAGTCTCCATGTCCTGACAATACAGAACAGCCTAGCCCTTGAACCCCAGTGTGATTCCCATTCTAGGCCCTACTATTGCTCCTTAAGTTAGAGCAAAAGCATGAGATATAGAACAGCCTGGTAGTGTCTGGGAGATGGTAGTAGACCTGGGTTCTGGTCCCAGTATCTAGATTTTATCCAAAGACCTATTTAATGTAACATTTAGAACAGGGGTGGGTGAAATGTGGCCTGGGGGCTGGACGCAGCCCAACAAGCCATTCTATCCGGCCCACAGGGCTCCTAAAAATTTAGAAAATTAATATTTATCTATCCTGGTCTGCCTGTCATGTGGCCCTTGATGGCTTGGCAAAACTCAGTAAGCGGCCCTCTGCCCAGAATAATTGCTCATCCCTGTTTTAGAAACTGTCATGTCAGTAGGGAGTAGAACCTAGGACTGCCCGTGTACCAAGGTGAGTCCTACCTGCTTCGCTACAGACTAACGTTTCTGTTTGTGCTCTTTGCCCAATGAATCATTAGCCCAATTAATCTTAAAATCTTTTTCTACTCAGTGATGAAGCTTCCAAAGGAGACATGAACAGTGATGCTCTCTCCATCCCCCATTGCTTCATTTTTAGTACACTCCTCTGGGAGGTGGAAGAAGTGAATTTGAATTCTCTCAGCAGAGAAAGCGATGGATCCCAGGTTGCATGACAGCTACACTAATTAGCCTGGGTGCAGCACCCTGTTCAGAGTTAAGCCATGATTATGAAATGTATGACAGCTGATGCCAATTAGCTTACTTCCACAGCAGAGCATTATAAGTGAAAAAAAACTCAATTCAGCAGACAAAATGGGACTTAAAACAAGTGAATAACTTCTTCGGCTTAAAAATGTGGGACTGCATCTATTGCGTAGCAATTCTCTTAATTGTTTTTACATCTAGCTGCAATGATGCAGCACCTCCTAGGATTGTGGTTTAGTACTAGTCATAAACCATACTGCTTAGGAAACCATGTGAGAGCTCCCCATTTAGCCATAGTGCACCCTTCACAACTGAGTGCTCAAGGAAATAAATCACCCCAAATATTTCCTTGTTGTTTAGCTTGCCAAGGAAGACTATCAAATGGCCTAGCCGACCTGCTGTAAGAAGAACGTTTATACTCACTGTCCTTCTGGTGCCACCGCACGGCATGTAAGTACACACCACAGTAGTGAAACATGAACTCATGGTCTGAGTGCTGAACTGTTCCCCGCAGTAAAGGCATCAAGTTGCGACCATCGATTACCCTAATGTGACAGACAGAATGGAAGTCACCAAGCTGGAGCAGGTGACTTTCCTCAGGTTTCTGATGGAAAATGACAATTCTTAAACAAACTGAGATTCAATAGAGGGAATGCTAACATTTTTAGCCGTGTAGACACATTGGAGTCAACCATACAATAATTAACAATAGCTTCTAGTTTTATTGTACCTTTCATCCAAAGCTATTAGAAAAGCAGCATGCTACCAATAAGCCATTCTGTTGATGCAAATTAGCACTACCATAATTTTACAGAAGAGTAAATAAACTACAGCCATTGAGAGGTGAAGATCAATTCTTCTGAAGTTTGGTACCGAGGTTGAAGTCAGTGGCAGCTTTAGGTGCCCAGAAGAAATGAAAAATCAGGCTATTTATTTAGATGATTAAATATGGACTTGTGCGTCTAACGTTAAGAATCAAATTTTAGTAAACTTTGTCTCAAGGGTCGGACCACCTCTGGTCACAGAGTGACTAATGACAAAACATGAATCAACAATGTAGTACAGTTGCAAGAAAAAGCAAACACAAGGATGTAAAGAAGTTACAGATGATACAAGGGCAAATGACAAAGATGATAAAGATACTGGAATGCGAGCCATATGAAAAAAAGTTGGTCATATTTAATTTGGAGAAAAGGAGGTAAAGTGTGTGTGGGGGCAGGGTGAGGAAGGGGACAGTTTTCTAATATATGTAAAGACTGCCATACAGAAAATGGAGAAACATTGTTTGTTTCACTGCCATGGAGGTTTTAAACTGCAGCAAAGCAAACTTGGAGGAATTCTCAGGAAAAACATCCTAACTGTTATACTAGCAGGACAATAGAATAAGCTGCCCAGGGACATTGTGCAACTTCCCTCACTGCAGATTTTCCACAAAAGGCCAGAAAAGCATTTGTTCGGGATGGCTGAGGGTCTAAAGTTCCTTCCAACCTTATGATTCCAAGAAACAGAGCCCACATATTCCAGCTCCCAGCTTTTTGCTCAAATTTCTATTGTTTCATTATAAAAGAAAACCGTTTTTCACTTTTGTTAATATTCTAATATGGACAAACAAATGAAAGTGTGTTTATTAATCATCTATGAGACCCCCAATGAAACAAACAAGTTAAAGCATGTTAAAAATGTAGGGTCTTTCTGAATGCAGTAACTGTTCCTGTGCCTACAATTTACTCATGGTAAATGGAAACAAAACTGAAGCGGTTTACTTCTGAGTGAAATAAGGTTACATTCCCCCCAGTTCAGCTTTCACTTAATTCAAGAACATAGACTTTTCCCATCACCTATAAGATAGATAAAATATGATTCATTAAACAGTCTCTACCTGTCCTGTGGCACTGTGCCTCCAGCCAAATGAACAACTGTAGGGTAAATATCCATTAGACTTGTAGGTTCATCAATGACTGTGTCTGCAGGTAACACTCCTGGCCACCTAACTATCCCTGGCACACGGATCCCTCCTTCCCAGCCTCCCATAGCTTTGCCACCTATTGTAAAAGAAACAATTGTAGGAGAAATAAGAAATACCAGTAAGACATAAGTCAGGAAGTAAAGATAATAGAATTTATATGCTCAATAGACATACATGCACAAATATACATAACCAAAATAAGTGCCTTAATGAAAATAGACCTGACTTAATTTGGGATTGTTAAGGGCAGGGTAGACTTTGTTCTCCCCAAAGTTAATACTATCTCTATACTTTTATATTAAGACATATTCTTGGCATTTATGAACTCATCATCTCTTGCTTACCAGAAAAGCAGTTTGTTAGAAATTCAGATCTGTTACTTTATGTTAATGTGGAATTTTATGATTGGAAAATCCCACTCTCACCAGAGGCCTGCTTCATGGTCAAGACCCGACAGGCTGAACAGTATGTTAGGAAGAGAGGCAGCAATCCTATGTGATGCTTGGGAAAGTGGACTGGGGCAACACAGGTCTCATCAGGCCATCCAAAACCAGATGCAGAAGGAGCACAGTGGAGTGCTTCATAGTCCTAGAGGTAGGCTCAGAAAGATGGTTGACAGTCTGCAGGGACTATGAGTTAATCTACAATTTTAGAGATCCTCTGAGGCAATTCCAGAAGGCAGCACACACAAGCAGGAATCTGAAGTACTCTACAGCCCTAAAGGGAACTCTATAAAGAGACTCTGTGCAGCTGTCTGCATCCTGATGGGATGCTCCTGCAGCAGTCTAAGGGGTCTCTCTCTTTTTGAGTTCCTTTTATATTCATTTGATCTTCCTACAACTCCTCCCCCAGTCTGGTGTACCACAGTGTACTGGCTTTCTTAACTCAAAATATTTCATGCTTTGAATACCATTTTAAAGTGTAAACCAAAGGGAATATTAAATATTTCCCAGACAAAAATATATTGTGGAGCTAAAGAGAAGATTATAAATATGTATTAATAGCTGCAGGGGGAAAAAAAACTCTCAGTAAAACAATGCAGTTTAAATCTATGACTCTGAAAACCAGGAAATGCAAATGTACAGTTACAAGACAAATATTAGAAAATATTGAACTACAGATATATTATCTAATATAGGTACTTAAATAGCCTTATTGTTGCTCTTTTCTTTCTGCCATCATAAGTAAACACAGGAGAACACCTTGGAAACCAACCTGTTTCGGGAAACAAACACATAAAATCAAGACAAACCTGCTCGGTTGCCTGTAGATCAGTGATTCTTAACTGGAGTGCCACACCATGCCAGGATGCCCTGAAATCCTTTCAAGAGTGCTGTGGGGTGCCACACAATATTTACAAACACGATTCACAGAATAAACCCAGAAATTTCGTGTCAATCCATAGTTGTGGTCTTTCTGGGTTTTTGCAACAGAAAAACTACTCAATTACTTTTCTGTAAGCATAAAAAGAGTGAAAACTAAGGGTGCTTATACACGAGCACAGAGGCTGGTTTGATGAGCTGTAATTACTCGGTTAATTGAGTCTGCTGGAGCTTGGTAATTACTGCACTCCAGCCAGCCACCTCATTTCATATATCAGCATCTCTGCGCTTAAATGGTGGCAGGGGTGCTTTATCTAAAGCTCATCAAATGAATGGTGCCCCCATTACCATTTTGAAGCTTGGGGATGCTGATACATGAGATACTTCAGGAACTTTAATTAGAGCAGCTCTTGGAGCCACTCTAATTATTAAAGTGCCTCCTCCCAACCTTATCAATGTCCTAGGAGCTGACATTTTCCAGGGGGTGCCTTGATTCTGTCCAGGGGTGCCTCAAATCTAAAAAGGTTGAGAAGCACTGGTGTAGATAATTGGTAAAACCTGATGTTAAGGGGGAGGTATAGTAGAACCCAGTTACAACCTGCTTAATCTGTAGTGGGTCGATGACTGAAGAATGAATTGTACAGCTGCTTGCTCTGACTTTTTTTATTTAAAAGAGTGCTGCTTCTCCACTCAGCTAGAGTACAACCACAGTCCAGCATAGCTGATCAGCAGGGATCCTGGTTTTCTCTGATAAAAAAACATCCCAAATTTTCTGATAAATGCCCCCCCTCCCTCATCCACATTTTCCCATGATTAAAATGAAACACCACTAATACATATACATATACTAATGCTGATATAGATATAGATATAGATATAGATATAGATATAGATATAGTGGTGTTTCATTTTAATAATTGAAAAATGTCGATTTTGGGTTATTTTTTTAAATCAGAAAATTTGGAATTTTTTTATCAGAGAAAACCACAGTTCTCATGATCTCTGAGTGATGCGT